GATATAACCTTCGCTTCGCAATTTGCCCCCCCCCCCTGAGATCTCGGGGACTAAGAGGGCTAGAGACACCAAATTCACGGGGTGTATTTACCTGTACGTGAACGCTCTTAGGTCAAATTTTGAGGTTCGTAGGTCATGACCTTCGGGCCAAATAAGGTAAAGCAAGGTCAAATTCCAGATTGCTCTCCAAAGGGCTCTAGAACCTAGGCAACTGTCCTAAGAAGAATGTCGCACGCTCAGTTAAGGTCAGTGACTTTGACCTTTTAACACGCGCCCGGGTGGCCGGTTGAGTATCCTTCGCTCGTGTGGAGGGGGTCAATTCGACCCCCCTGAGATCTCAGGAACAAAGAGAGCTAGAGACACCAAATTCACAGGGTGTGTTGACCTGTACGTGAACTCACTTAGGTCGAAGTGTGAGGTTCCTAGGTCATGACCCTCAGGTCAGATAAGGTCAAACAACGTCAAACTCGAGATTGACCTCCAAAGGGCTCCTAGAACCTAGGCAACTGTTTTAAGCAAAATATCTTACGCTCATTTAAGGTCAGTGACCTTGCTTGACCTTTTAAAGGTTATGATGATCAAAATGATATAAGACTGTTTTGAGTTCCGCGTTTGGATAGGCGACAAGGATTACGCTAGGCAGTATGTTCCTAAAAAAGGTTGGCCTGGGCCATTTTAGGTCAATGACCTATTCTCACTTATAAGAAGTCCAGAAAAGGTGTTTAATTCCGGTTCCTGCTATCAATATACTCGGTATGGACGCCAGAAACCAGCCTATACATTAAGCCTGAGAGTAATAGAACAGGTTGGTTTTGACCTTTGTCTGACCTTCATGCCTGACCCTAGGTCAACGCTATTTGTTTATTCAATTGTTGTGTTGCCTAAGAAAGTATCTCAGAGATATCTGGCTTTGTCTAACACTCCGTTGTTTGATCGGATTGAGCGATTTACTAGAACGTGTCTTCGCTGAAACCATGGCCTGACTTTGACATGCCATAGGCCGTCAACGTTACGAAGTGAATTTAATTTTTTATGTCAGACGATCCGCTATTCAGTTGTCCACAGCTACACGAAATCTGGCGCGGCTGCACCGCGCCGTTCGGAAACTCTTCCGGGAAAATCTTTGGGGGTCATTTTGACCCCCACCCGAGCGCGTGTTAAAGAGACTTTTGGAAACGAATCGACAAAGGATCTGTCAATGTGTCAGAACCTTGGCAAGCTGGATTAAGCAACACATTTAAAAAGGAGGGAAGCGTAATTGCAAGCAAAACCCGCACACGTGAGCTGTACGGGGTTTAGCTCAGAGCTCTACCGCTCCTAATCATCGGGGAAAAATAGGGAAACCAGGAACAGACAAACGGTCCAACTAGCGGCCACTAACGCCCTAGCCAAAGAAGACCCTTCTTGACTCGTACACCGCACCTGGCGGCGACGCAGGATCGGCGAAGGCCATAATGAGGCCGATGCACCTCCACGTGGCCACCTCCAATGGCGAAATCAAGACAGCATCGTCGCAGGCTAATGAACGATCCATCGCGCCGAAGCATGCGTCACCGGTCTCGGTCACCACTTCCAACCAAGCCGGCCGCAAATGTCGTGTCGCCGTCTGGCCAAATTACCTCAAGCCTCGCTTGAATGCCAGACAATTATAACGCAGTCCGTCACCTGTAGTTGCAAAATAATTCACACATATTGATCACATCAGCCTACTTATCTGACCTTTGTTCCACGCCCCACGCGCTACAGTCTACCGCTATACGCGGGCCCAGCGCCGAAACCGAGTGGCATATTCCCCCATCGTTAACTGTGCGATTACATCTGTCGCTCCGAGACACAGTTCCGGGCCGGGAGCGTCGCATGGCCAGTGTCCCTTACCCCCTTTACCCAAGAACATGGGAGGGAAGAGGCTGTTGTGGCCCGCGCCCGCCCGTTGGTGGTGGGGGGAATCAAGGGACATCTTCAGAGCCTTGGAGCACACAGCCGGCCATGGTGTGATTAGGATGCGTGACGGTCTGTGGACCCCCATCGTGCGTGTTGTCGCCGGCGCCCCGTTGACCACGGAGCCAGAGGTCGTCGCCGTTCTGCTCTCGATGCAGGACTGTCAGCTACAGACGCACGGCACTCGCCCCCTTTTACCTAAAACACCAACCAGTTACTCTGGGGATTCTCCTTCGAGACTCCCCCGCCCCCCCCCCCCGACGCCATCTAGACTTCTCCGCCGCGCTCCCCTTCAGAGCTCCTCGTCACGCTTTGCTCTCTGCAATTCCTCAAACTGGATGGGCCCAGTTTGTTCTGTTGTGTAAAGGAATTGACTTGAGGGAGTGAGGATGGGGTGAAGTTCACAGCCCTGCTCCAGAAGGGCAGGACTGTAAACTTCAGCAAAAGGTCTTCAAGGTACCCATTTCAGTTCAAAACCTCATATAAATGTGCAACACCCCCGTAAGTCATTTTCTTTACACGTAGAGCCCGTTTCACATCCGGAAAGCACAAGTTTTGGAAGCTGTTTGTTTTTGTTCATGTTTACTGATGTTGTTTTCACTTTTATCGTCTGGCGAACCTGCCGCCGCTATTGGTGTATTCACAACAGTCCGGACGACGAAGAATGTATTGATTTGGTGTGATGCATGACGTCATGCCGCACAGATTCTGCACCATTTGCTGTTCGCAGCAAACCGGGCGGCAGTGATCGTACGTGACATTATGTTGCATGAACTTGAACATGAGTATGAGAACAGCACGCATGCTCTTCTCATTGTCCAATGAAACGTTGGAAAGCGACTATCCGAATATTCAAACCATCCCTCCGAAGAAATCCTCTGAATTGCGCACGGGGACCAATTTGTAGGGTGAAAGTGGGACTCTCACGAAAAGTGAGTGGACCGCGTGGCATGGTCGAACCCTGGATCTGCGCTCTGCAACAATCACTCAAGCTGTAGCTGAACCAGACAACGTTTTAGACATGATCGTAGAAGACATGGTTGCAGTGGGTGAAATTTAAAGGACACTTGGGATGTGCGTACAGTTAAGCCCGGCCGAAACGAAAAAGTCATCAGATGGCGAAAAGGATTTGATGGAGTATATGCGACTATGGCAGGCTTTCATAAGGCTTCTAGAGTAGAGGAAATCTAGTAAATAATGGTGCTGCTTCCTGTTGCAATTTAGGGCAGAATACAATACGCCGTATGGTGCAATTTCTTAGTGTGGCTCATTTAGTTTGGTAACTTCATATCGCATTACGAGCAGCTAACTTTTTGACAGGTTTCAGGAAAAGCTTCACGGCACACGAGCAGCCCGTCATGATTGGGCCGCGGCGGTCGCTGTCGAATCTGAGGAGCGCTCCTTGTTCGCTGTCGCAGGTTCGGGCCGGCGACCGGCGTATTGCTCTTGACTGCCAGCGCAGCTCAGCAGCAGGGCGTATTGCTCTCGACTGCCAGCGCAGCTCAGCAGCAGGGCGGCGAACGTAACGAAGAGCGATGACTCTCGCTTCAAAAGCCTGCATTTATCAAATCGGGGTGGATTATGTGAACGACGCTTACCCTGAATAATGGTAGCCACGATTGGGTACCTCCAGCAAAGGAAATAGCTTGGCGATGTATGTCAATAAGTGTGTGCACGTGACAATGCTGATAGAATGTTCATGTTGGATACCCACATTAGCAGTTACATGCCAGCATTAAAGCGTATGTTCCACATTTGAGATATTGAAGCAAGCGTCAGATATAATGAAATAAGCTCATTTATAGCCCATGGCACACTTTGAAGCTGAATTAGCTGCTCTAGACAACACATTTTCTCTTTTTGTAAATATGTTCCGCATTACATTATTGTTTGATCATGTCATCTTACCTTATGCAAAACTGATTGAGATTAAACTGACAACCGTTGAATCTCAAAATCGTGCACACGAACGCCAGATACGAACGACTCAACAATTCTTTTTTTTGTATTACGCCTGATCACGGCATGGCCAAGGGAATGGCAGGATCTGAATGACGTTATTATGGCGTGATGAATGCCTATGCGATCTTGAAACAGTCTCCCCGAAATAGTCTGTACATCTTCACGGGCGTGTAGCCAGAAACTAGAAGGGCTTAGTTCTTAAGAAGTGTGCTGCTGTCAACTGCATCAAAAGATCTTTAATGGGCCTTTTCAGTTCAAAACCCGATACAAATGTGGAGCACTCGCTTTGAAGGGATTGGGGCTTACCAAACATGTTTTGAGCAGAAATCTGCCAGAGCTAGTCTCAAAGAGTCTCACTCCTCCGGACCGAATCGTCTGATTACCAGTTGCCAACATTGTAATAATTGCGAAGATGTGATCGCTCGTCAATAACAGCGATCATAACATCCTGTACCTGATAGTTTTTTACGCCTGCGATTCATTTGAATTGAGATGCGTTGAAATGTTGCTAAAAAAAAGCTGCCGTTATTTGTGATATGTCTGGGTATTAAACCGAAATATGTTGCGACGATTAATTACGACAATAGCAAAAGTTATTTGTGGATGTTAAAATACAAACACCGATATTTCTCGACAGCGCCTGGCCACGCGCAGAAATAAAAAAACTGGTTTGGGTTCACAGATTGCTACTAAAAGCCCTCTTCATAGCACGTCTTTTGGCCTTTATGAAGCTGCCTTCTGTTGGCACCCTCAATTATTACAGCGTTTTAGTCCATGGCGTTGAGGTCAAGGGCAAAGCAAGGTCAGTACGTAAGCTGCTCCTTGCTGTTGAAAACTGCTGTTGGAAGATGGCTGACGATCGGTCTGTGGCTGCCGTCGGAAGATGGCTGACGATCGGTCTGTGGCTGCCGTCGGAAGATGGCTGACGATCGGTCTGTGGCTGCCGTCGGAAGATGGCTGACGATCGGTATCTGGCCGCAGTGGGAAGATGGCTGACGATCGGTCTGTGGCTGCCGCCGGGGTCTGCCGCGCCGGTCGGTCTGTGGCTGCCGCCGGGGTCTGGCGTGCCGGTCGGCTTCTGACTGCCGCTTCTATTTCAGGGTCAGCCCAGGCGGTGGTGCCCCCGGCGCCGCAGCTCAAGCCTGAGTTCCTCTCGCAGCCGGGCTTGTTCAGCGTGCGCGAGGGCGACGCCGTGGTGCTGCCCTGCAGCGTCCGACACGCCGGTGAGACGGGGCGGCGCCGGAGCTGCAGCTGCAGCAGCACAGTGATCGACTAGGAGAACCCGCAATGGCCGGAGCTCGGCCAGCGGCGCCATTGGCACCAAACATGCAGATGGGGCGAGGGGATGGGTGCTACTAGGGCGTCACAGCGGAGTTACCGATACGTGCCGGGAGCGAGGGAAGACTACGGCCAGGAGTGTGGCAGGGCACTGACGTTGCAAATGTCCGAGGCGGTGCGGGGACTCCAGCACCAGGGTGCCGGCAGCAGCCACAGTGTGACCTTTGGGAGACGGTGAAGCAGATAATCGCAGATAATCACGACATTTATACGTCGCTAGCGCCGTGCTGCGGTCTGGACCTGCCGTTAGTATTCTGACCACGTCCGACTTCATCATTCGTGCTGTCCGACGTGGGGCTGGGGTGCTCAAAATAGTTGAGCTACCCGACTTCGGCCGCAATCAGAGAGTTGCGGGGTTTTCATCAATATTGATTCAGAACTCCACCCCATTCGGAATAGATGACCCATACTCGGAAAATGGCTCCAAATAAATACGTGCCCACAGCCTGTCACGCTGTCCGGTGCCGGTGGGATAGTGGTTACGTTGCGCGTTTGGAAAACCAGAGTATCGGGACTCGATTTCCCGGGGTGCCCGCCCGCCCTGCCAGAGTGAGAGGCAGGCAACGCCGCCCAGCCCAAGTAGCTGTGCGCGTCGTAAAGCCTCTGTGACGATGGAGACCACGGAGCTGTCGGGGAATAAACTTAAGATGATGAGCAATGCAAAGTGAAGTCCACGATATTTGTTTAACTCTGGACACTCGGGTTTGGAAAGGGAGTAAACCGACCCAAGCAGTATGCGTTGCATATACAGTGAGTTGACTACATTGGTGTCATTTTGTGAAACTGATATTGAAACAGAAATGACAGAAATTTGTGAGGGTGTCATAAACTTTACCGACGTGCGGTGCACGCTGTCATACGATAACAAAAGTTGAGCGTATTAAAACACAAACACCCACAGTTCTGCCCAGCAGTGAAGCAGTGAGTTACGTTTGCGTCACGTTGTCGAATTCAGCGTTCGCCTGTGAGCCCGTCCGTGTTTGTCCGGTTATTGGGTTCGCCGTTTGGGCCTCACCACGCTGCTGAGCTTGACGGGTCCTGTCTGCCGGGTTCACCATTTGGGTCTCACCACGCTGCTGAGCTTGACGGGTCCTGTCTGCTGGGTTCGCCGTTTGGGCTTCACCACGCTGCTGAGCTTGACGGGTCCTGTCTGCTCTGCAGGGACACATTCGGTGGTATGGCAGCAGGGGAAGCGAGTGCTGACGGCCAGACACCTCATCATCGACTCGGACAGCCGGCTCAGCCTGGTGGACGGTCACAATCTGCGGATTGACCGCGTGGGGCTGCCAGATGCCGGCAACTTCACCTGCTCCGTCTCCTCCAAGCCGCTGATGGAGCTCACGCACACCGTCGATGTGCTTTGTGAGTGCAACGCTGATTATGTCCTGATGAGGTTTTGGCAACAGACACTAATTAAACGACAAGGATATATCTCGTTCTTAAGCGAGCGCTTGCTCGCATTGCATTGAACACCCATGTAAGAATGTACCTCTGATTAGGGAAAGAAATTATATGCATCATTTCACAAAAGTCGGCAGTTTCAAAGGCAAATATAATATCTTAAGGAGAGCATTGAGTGTACCAGCTTGACAGCTTGAGCCTAGTGTAATTAGTTATGTCTTGTCTAGTCTAGTCTAGCTACGCCCGTATGCTAAATAATTAAATATGGTTTAATAGCAGTCACGATAAAGTAGATATGGCCACAACTCTTCGGTTTTGAAAAGACAGTACCCGACTTCGTAATGTATAAATATTAAAACATATATCAGTCGTTTAATGACATCACCACGCCGAAGTTGCATCCCTGTGATGTGTTGAGCTAGACGTAATGTGGATAGAACTAACGCTCCCTCGGGCTTCCAGTCAAGTGCTCACAGGCGAAACATGTTTGGTTGAAGCTAGCAGCACCACGCACAAAAACACGACGGCTTGTTTACGGCTCGACCCCGACGTATTGGCCGTAAATCACTGGCTGAAAGACCCTGTGGGCCAAAACGCTATTGTCCCTGTTTCCCTCGAGCATTTCAAATGACATCTGGCTTGTGGCATGTGCATTCGGTGTTTCGTAGTGTGATTGAACTAGATGGCATTAAAGGCTGATTTTATTTTTCAAATGCCCCGCTTGGCTGGGCTTTTCGGTGTGATTGAGTGTCGCGCTTGAAAAATCTAATGAATTCTTACCAATCGTAGTCATCCAAAAAACTGTTGCCGGTGTACCCAGCATTAGCCAAAATAAAGTATTCCAAACGCATAGATTGATTTAAATGTGAAAAGGGCAATTTTCCGCTATGCCTGCGTGTTTCCCAAGATGTTAACTCTTTTCCAGAAAAAATATGGTCTGGTGAGGTCTCGTCAGTACTAGCGATCTCACGCTTGCACTAGTACTTAAGATAATAGAATAAACATATAAAAGATAAAGGCTATCCATAAAAGATAATTTAACCTGTAAAAGGTTGCATTCACAAAAGTTAAATTACATCTACCCAGTGCATTCCGATAACAGCATTCCAACACCGCTTTTCCTGTGGCTCTAGCTTTCGTGGTTTACGATGCCTGAGGGGTAGCTAGGGCCCCCCATTCGTAGGAAGAAAGTGTACAAAGCTTCCATAGAGCGTGGGCTACCTTCTGCGCACAAATGTACGGGTGGCATTTGTGACCTAATGCCAGCTCTTGTGCATGCCAATGCCTGACAATATTACCGGCGATATGAATGGCCTGTTTAGGAGCAAATACGCTCAAAATGGAGGTAAGGCTATTTCTGAATTGAAAGCTACTGCCTCCTAGCGGACGATGAGATTTTACACATCTATTGACGGAAGTTCGTACTATTTTTAAGTCGCTAGAACAACTGGTACATCATGATAAGACGGAAAGACTGCTACGCGGTGCGTGCCGACTCACGAAGGACGGAATGTTGTTGTCCATTATGTAGGCCAGGTGGAAGCAGGAAGTGAGGAGGCAATGTGCGCCATTCTGGGCACCCTTGGTTCTCTCTGTTCACCGTCCTTTTAATGTCCCGGTGAGCCTGTTGTACTTACATTTGTTTAACAGATATGTGAGGGTCATTTGTACCTGTACACAATACACAACGAACAAACGACAGAATATTTTTTGTATTCTTTCCGTCAAAAATGCATATCTGGATCCGCCTTTGAATAACTATTGATGTGCCTAAAAACGCACCGTTTCATAGTAATATGGCATGTTTTAATCACTAACAGGAGTAATTACGCAATAGTAAACAGAGTACATCAGACCTTCCAAATTCGTTGTGCCATAGCCAAAGTTTGTGCACTTTTGCCTCGAACCATGACAACGCTTGCGGGTACATTTAAATTTATGTTCTGCTTAATGCAAACTAGATCTACATTTTCGTCATAGTAAGAAAATATGTGAAAGCCACGTGCTTCACTTTGGTTACGTTTTGCCCTTGAAAATCTCCTATCTGCATTATGTGTACGCACTTTTTTGAATGGTTTAAAATAACCCACAAGGGGTACAACACTCACTATGCAAAGTGACTGAACAGACACAACGAAAAGTGACTATATAAGCAAAAATAACTCTTTAAAAACATCCGCATTTTAACATTTTGCTCGACCGCTTGAAACCGGGGAGAAAGGGATAGAGAGAAAAAGAGAGAGAGCGATATATATATATATATATATATATATATATATAAGTATATATATATATATATATATACAATGTGTGCTACCAATTTTGAGCATTGCGTTTTTATGTCTAGTATTAATTTATTTTGGTCAGAATGGGGGTTTCATTAACCCCTCCACGTGCTCCCTGCTCCTTGCTCCATTTAACACCACACCGTCCACGGAAGAAAACTAAACACCCAGAGATTATCAGTTATATTACAATGTTGCATAATTCTTCAACAACACACGCATTGTTACAGATGGCACTTACTGCTGAAAACGTGGTAGTACAGTCAGTGGCTTGCAAAGATGTAAAGCCGTATAACTGCTGAACCTTGTAGACGAGGTTGGGCGATGTCAGAAAAGTTAGGGCTTGCTTGTTCTACGGTCTCGCTCGTAATTAGACTCACTGAGTTGTACCTCTGGTTTCGTGTACTTAACAATGTCTATGAAGTCCACATGATGTTATTTTTTGTGATATCTGCATCTCTGAATTTGGTTGGAAGGCCAAGACATATTTTGGTGGCTTATTGTATATATTGTATAGCGTGGTGAGTGAGGCCCCAATGTATGTTTTCAGTTCCCACGCATCGTCATCGTTGATATACATTTCAGTGCTGTTACGAAGGCCATCGCGATCATTATGTCCTCGATTATCACGTCACCTCGTTTTCTTGATAAGTGTGCAGTGTGCAGTGTGCGTGTGCATTATGCAGAGTTTAACTCTAAATAAAATCAACAGTGCATTGAACGAGCCTCGTTCCATCTTTCGACGCAATCACGATTAAACGGTGACCAACTAATCATCAAGAACAGGAGATTGCGCAGGATTGCACACGCATTTTTTGCGTGTCGGAAAAGATGATCCATGCTTTTAAACGTCCTATTTCCACGTGGCTTCACGGATACTTGATGTATCAACATTTATTGCGTACATATCCATACGTGCTACAAATTTTGTAAATGGAAGGCACGTGCCCCGGGGGGCTACTATGAACATACGCTCCTGATGAAGAGCAATATCATTGTTTGTGTCGACGGTATTCACGACGTCGTAAATCGCTTATTTGCTCCACTTTGCCACTCTTCAACGCGGCGTTTCCAAATTTCTACAGCATTGGACTTATCTGAGGCTGTCACTCTCTCGTAGTAGATATATATATATATATATATATATATATATATATATATGTATACATATACATATCGTATATATGGGATATCAGAAATGAAATTGGCTACCATTTAGGATATCAGCGAATCTTGTAGTGCGGGCATTGAGCAAATGGTGTGAAGATGCTAGCCATAGATTAAGTCATTGATTTATAGAAATACTGGGTGAACCGAAGTAGTTTTCTGTACGTATGTATATAAAATAGAGTTTTAGACGGCGTCTGCTTTAGATTCGTTTTATAACACTGAATTCAGCTCGCGTGTTTTGTTCATGTCAGTGCGATGGCAATTGAATTACGATTCAATGATGAATCTAGTGTGAAAACGTCATTATTCCATCCTCAAAAGTCTGACCAAGAGTAGAACGACGCGGCTATCTTGAGTTCACTTTGTAGACAGCCTGAATTTCATCTAGGATCAATATAGTATAGACAACTTTGACAACTTAATTCTTCACGACCTGGTGCGTACGGGTGATACCGCCTACAGGTACCTTGCATATTTGCCCGGCGTATTCCTCGTTTTATCTCATGACCACTCGTAAATACGTTATGTATGCATAATGTGAGTGTCAGTGCACGCGAATGTCAATGCATTGCTGACGTACCTATTTTCCCTCCAGATGGTCCCGTGGTGAAGACACTGCCCAAGTCTGGACAGCTGACCACAGACCAGGGCCAGAACGTAACATTGCAGTGCGGCGCGGAAGGCAACCCCCAACCCGATGTCGCTTGGAGAAAACAGGTCAGTTCACTCACCAGCTCATGACCAATATGTACACTAATAACTTTACCTAAATATCTCCCGATAAATGCGGTAGGTTAGCGCTCTTCAATGTAGAAATGAAATATTTCTGAGTCATCCATCACACTACTTATTTACCCATCATACTACTAATTGTACACCTAAAGGCAGTGTTCCACCTTGGTCTGGGGTTTTGAACTGAGCTGGCCATTTTGAAGATCATTCAGCACAGTTCACAGCTATACCCTTGTAAGACGTAAAACCTGCTATGTATATGAGCATGACGTCCGCAAACTTGTGCAGACTATATTGTACAGACGTATGCAGGGTTAACCCACAGATTCATGACGTTATACAAACGTAAATACTGCAACTCATTGGCCGTATAGTGCTTAAGGCCCAGAGCACATGTGATCTTCGAGTTATTCGTGTCTGATGTACGTCAGCGCAATTCATCAGTTGTCACGGCGTCAGTTGGATTCAACCATTTGAGACGTTGGATGCCAGTTTCGAACGCGAATTACGTTTTGTGCTATACGGTACAGAAATGTGGGCAGTAGGAACAACATCGCTAGAAGCGGCCAGAGCAAGCGTGCATAACAATATTAGAGTTTCTCAAAACGCACTCGTACGTGCGCCACCTATCGGCAGGTTAAAGCACAAGTGACTCACCTCGTCCGCTACAGTGGTTATTCTGTCACAGACATCTGACAGCGACTCTGGCGTCATACAAACGTTTCATGACGTCATCGGACGGTGACATTTTTAGGAGCTTGTTGATTTAAAGTGGGCTTTGATGTCTAGACAGTCTTTTGCATTTAAATCAGATCAAGAGTTGAAAATGAACCTATTTCATCACATCTGATGTTTGCCTCTGTATCTTCCAATGTTGAAAGTTTCCTTTACGATGGAACGCATGACCAGCATAAGTCTTCATATAGGCCAGGTTACATAAGCAAACGCGTGCTGATTTCGGCACCGAAAGCAAACATAAACTCGTGACGTCGTTGTACCTGCGTATCCTTTGCATGTTGCCAGGATAGTACAGTTTTACACAGACAGACCAAATACTTGTTATACTTAACAGGAACATTTGTTTCAGCAAAACATCCGCCTTTTCAATGGGAATAATTTGCCATTGCATGTCCCAGGAAACATGACGGGTTGTCCCTATATATCCACCACAGATCAAGTTTTCAGCTGTGCCTGGACAATGGAGGGCAGCATTGTTTGGTCGAAATATGTCAGATTTACGCCCAGAGGATGTCTGTCGCAAAGTTTCAGTGTTCTCCCTGGAGCGGTGTCGTAACGAGTTTGGAAGCCTTGAATAATATTTTCCAGTATGAATAAATCATCATGATTATTTGCAACAATTACAGCATAATGACATTGGAGAGTTTCCAACTACATCACTGCCTGCGGTGCAACAACATCCGGCCATACAAAAGAGGTTGGGCACATCAGTTTGTATTTGGACAGCCATCCTGTTTTCAGCCAGTGAAATGTGGAAACTGAACCAAACGAAATGGGATATGGTCCATCACATCGTATTATTTATTCGGTGCCTCGAAACGGATGGCTCACTGGCCATTTCGGCGACATTTCGGCTCAGTTTTCACTCGGCGGGCGTACTGGCGGCTGCCGTCTGGCGTCCCTCGGGTACAATTCGCAGGCCCCGCCACGGTGCCCTCCTCGGCTGCCGCGCCCACCCTTTCATCGAACGGTCGCGAATCGCGGGTCGGGAGTGAGCTCGGTCGACAAACGTCCACCTGGGCATCGTTGGAGCGTCGGGTCAGCGGTGCGCGACGACTGGGGACGCATGTGAGGGGCTGTCGCGTGCCATCAGCGTGACACGGCAACGGAGGGCCACACTCGTGTCAGAAGCCATCGCACACGGTGTGAGACCAGTGACGACCTCACCCGTGCCAGTCCTTCCCGTCAATCAGTTGAGCATACATCTTCGAAGTTCAAAGCTTCTTTTTGTGTGCATTCCACTTAAACGCTTTCATCGTCACCTAGTCATACAGCAGCGTCCATGCTGCGACCAGCAGAGGCCTGGCGCGTGCAAGTGCAAGTCAAGTTTCTATCATTCTGAGTGCAGTGAGTCGTCTCGGCGAAAGACAATTCGCTTTATATCGATTTTTGAACGGACACAGTCGCGACTGGTATAAATTTGATGGCATATCACGCGATGGCCGGCCTAAGTGAACGTACACAATATCGCATATGGCGTGGGACTAATGGGCTCAGCCAATCGGAGAGGAAAATCCCCTTGCTTTTTCAGCTTGTTATGCAAACTGCGGTTAGGTGTTAATAATGCCTTTCCCATGAGAGATCAGGGCGATATCATGCATGGACTCTGCTTTAAGTCGGATTTTCATCCGCTTTGCACAGGGCGATGACGTCACTGGTACCGAGACTTTAATGCGGCGCAGCCGAATCACCGGGATTACTCCTGCAGATAATGAACAAACTGTTGGCGAGAAAGTCATAATAACTAGCAGAACGATTGCATGGAAGTTAATGGCGAGTACAGTGGTATGTATTGGAAGCCTATGTCGCCAACCATTCAAACAGAATGGTCTAAGAAGTGAAAACGTATTCACGTGACTTATTCCAGATTGGACTGTCGAAATATCGGACTTTCTTCACATCGATAATAAATAAACTGTCAGCGACAGATGCACGTAACTAGCGAGCTGATCGCGCAGTATTCAACGTCAAAGATTCTGATGCGCTTTGCAAGCTTCGGGGCCAACCAGTACAATGAAATCAGAGTGGAAATTTAAAATGCTTCTGCGAGAACTGCTGCAGAGATGGGCGGCCATGGCATCGAGCTGCCTCCGTACCGATAATGCACAAACTGTTCAAGGCAGGTGCATGTAATGGAAGTGCCGAATGCGTATAATTTATGTGAGAGCATGGTGATACGTTAATTACAAGGTTGTTACGCCTAGCGGTGAAAAGGAATCGGCGGGGAAAACGAGACTGTGCGCCTGTGAACTGTTGAACATGGGTTGCCTGAACATTAGGTTACCTTCTTGCCGGTAGCAAGCAGATCGTTCCTTGGATGACCTTATTTGATCTTGCATGTCCTGACACGATCTTTTATGACCTCATTATGGCTTAAGTTGATGTTACACCTTTTTAATTCAGTATTCCATGTCTACGTCGAAAATTACCTACTTAAACTGCCTATGTTGAACTCAGCATGTGTTTCGCGGAAGGCACCCTTGGAAGTAGGTGATGGCTTGGGCCAAGGTTATGTGCTCTATGCTCGTATGAGGGCTGCACATGCGAGCTAGCATACTTTTCAACATATACAAACTCCAAAACACAACACAAATTCGTGCAAATGTAAATGTTTTATGAAAATAGCAAGAATTGCTCTGACTTCAGCTCACTCACTTCGCCTGCTTTGAAAAATATGAACTAATTTAACTTCGGTATTGTCATATTCTGCCACTAAAGTATGTTTAGCACTGGTAAATAACCTACAAAAAGTCCCGTACAGGGAAAGTCTTTTAGAGATTGACCTCTTTCATCTGACCTAGACTGACCTGAGATCACATTCACACAAAGTAGGCCAAATGAGTAGATGGAGGGGCATTGAGAATGTGATGTTGCTGTGAGCATTCGTTTTTGAGCTGTGCTCGGAAACTGGAGAGAAAATCAATTCTCCCCGCCACCCCCCCCCCCCCCGGCCGGGCGTGGGTTAAGACTATACGTTCGTGCGATGAACCTTGAGTTGTAAAAAGTAACCTAAATGGCTATAATCCTTCCTTCGTGCATGGGAGAACTTCTGCTGACATTGCACGCAGGCAGGAGCCGGCTAGCATTCTACGCTGAGGGTCGACCGCAACTTGGCTTTTTTGCTATCTTAAGTAGCACAGTGTTACGGGGGGCTGCATAAAGCAAGGGAAGGTCATCTACTGTTACAAAGCACAGGTGTTGCCACAGAGGACTAAACAAGTGACGACCGACACCGAGACACAACCAGCCATGAACCAGGCTCATACAGGCGCGTGTGCTGCCCGTGAGACTCCGTACACATGACAGTCTGTGGGTCCACATCATCGCGGATTTTGAGTGGTCGTGGCGAAATAAAAGATATCAGGGATTAAGCAAATATACGTATTGGGGCGCACTGCCACTCGTATGAAACAAACAGAAATACATCAAGTGTTCTGTTAACGCTGTTCTAGCTAAAAACGGTGATATATATCACAGCTACATATCGTGCTCTGCACCCCAGTTCGGCTACCCGCAATTCTACCCACGTGCCACTTTGTCGTTAAACATGGCAACGCACATAGACGTGTCTACAAGGAACGCACATGGCTCAACACCCCCATGACTATGCAGACTGGTGGGGACCGAGCACGGCCGGCCCTGCAAACAGGTACAACCTGAGCACGCCAAGGTGTGGCCAGGTACGGACCGAGCACGGCTGGCACCGTGAACAGGTACAAACCGAGCTTGCCGGTTTGTACTGCACCAGACAACAGGCTCGCTGCACAGCAGCAACGCTGTTAAAATGCAACAGACAAGAGACTCGCCACGCTGGCCACTCACTGGCACCACCTGCGGCGGTACAACCACGGGGTACGAAGCCGTATGAGATCGAAGGGCATTTTCATGCTGGCCGTTTGAGGTTGTCACGCATATCATCATACTCGTCTTGTCTTGTCTTGTCGCCACACTCGTTTATTTCTACGCAGTCGGCTCACTGGTCACATGCATCTGCCAAAAACAGTTTTTTTTCATTTCGGGTACGAAGATAGCCCGATGGTGAAGCCGTCATATTGTGATTAAGTCTCGTGAGAGTGTTTTCACGCTACATGCCATTGCGGTTTAAACGTTTGCCTCATAGGCTTGCAAAGCACGTTATACTCGCCATAAAAAACTAGGGCAATCAGCTTGCTGGACCTATGCATGGCTCGCGAACAGCTTGCCCATTATCTACGAATGTATTTATGCTCCGGTTGCCCCTCAGTATT